CCTCTCTCTCTCTCTCTCTCTCGGTCTCCCTCCCTTCCTCCCTCTCTCTCTCTCTCGCTTCTTCTCAACCTTTGGTGGCCATACATGCTGTTTCACTGACACCGGCGATGCGTGCGAGATAGGCACGGCCCTTTGTGCATGTCTTCGCTGGGCAGGAGCTCCTCATCGGGGCCGGTGGGCCGGGAATCATGGATTCAGGCAATCCGCGTCTGGAATTTGCCCTGGTGGCCATTGTTCACCAGGCGCCCTTCCTCGTCACCCAACGGAACACCTTTTACATGGCTCTCCCGCTGGTGGTACGTCAGGATACCCTTCCGTCCTCCCTCCTCTCCTCTTTCGTTCGATCCTTCGCTGGAAAGGCACGGAGCCGGCCAAATGCAAACACGCGAAAGCTCGCCCAGTCGTCCTGCCCTGACCCCTCTTCCCGGCAGTTCTTCGGATGCCTGCTGGTGTGCATCATCACGACGGCCGTCATGTCGCACATCTTCTCCGAGCATCTGCGCGCGGCTTCGCAGCAGATGGTGGCTGTTGCGACGCTCACAAATGCCAGTGGGGTGCGTTTCCATTTTCCCACCTGCCTCGGCCCATGCCGCTTCCGTTGCTTTTCCCGCCCCGCCAGGCGGCATTCTTGCTTCTTCCCCCCCCCCCCCTTCCCCTCTCTCTCCGCCTTCTTTGTGACCGGCCCACTCACCCCCCTCATGCGGCCATGATCGCAGCCCAAGCGCACCCCCCCAATCATGCGGAACTTCCGCACCAAGGAGCTCATCCGCATGAGCAGCGCCCTGGATGCCATGGACCGCGGCTTGAACTCCTTCAGCAAATACGTCCCTCGAGACGTGGTCCGCCTGTTGCAGCGCAGCAAGAGCGAGGCCATTGCCGGGGTGGTTCCGGTCGAATTGACCATCTTCTTTTCCGACATCGCCGGGTTCACCTGCCTCTCGGAGCAACTGGCCCCCGAGTCACTGGTGGACCTGATCAGCCACTATCTGCACGAGATGTCGACCGTCGTCCATGAGGGAGGCGGCGTGGTGGACAAGTACATCGGCGACGCGGTGATGGCCTTCTGGAATGCGCCGCTCTATGCGCCGCAGCATGCCATCCTTGCTGGCTTGGCGGCCCTTCGATCGCATGAGCGCCTGCGTGCTCTCCGGCCCCAGTGGCGAAAGCGTGGCTACCCTCTGATTGAGTCGCGCATCGGCCTGAACACTGGCATGGCTCTGGTTGGCAACCTTGGCTCCTCGGAGCGCTTGGCCTATACGGCGGTCGGGGAGGAGGTGTCCCTGGCTGGGAAGATGGAAGAGCTGAACAAGGTGCGCATACACGGGCTTGCCTTCTTTCTTTCTTTTCCTTCCCGGCCCCCTCTTCCTCTTTCCCCGACTCTCGACTCCGCCCACTGATATGGCCTCCCACATCCTCTTTTCCCTCTCTCTCTCTCTCTCCCTCTCCCTCCCTTGTTCCGCCCTCCCCCCCCCCCCATCACCGACCACTTGCTCTTGCACACACACACACACACACACACACACACACACACAC